TAGTTCTTTGGGCCATTTCAGTTATGATAGAAATGGAGTACACACAGACTGCAGTGACAACACACCGAAAGGAAAAAGCATTTCGCGAAAATGTGATTTTATAAACGACGTTTCGTGCGCTCTGGCTCCACCAAACCCATCGTTCAGAAGTGCGCGTTTAATCCGCCACACCTCATCCTTAGGAGACAAAATTTGTTACAAGAGGAAAGGCGTCGGCAAGGAATTAAAACTCTTTAATAATGTCGCCATTTTGTACCGTAAAAACCTTCGTCAAATTAAACTTACGTTTTTTTCTAATGGCTTTGAGCATGCTAATGTAAATATAATCTACCAAGTCCAACATGGGACCATCAGCGAACAAAGCATCCCATAGCACGAGAACGTCATCCATTGGAAACTCACGTCCAAAAAGTAGGCGAATCCAGCGACTGCCGAATTAAAACAAACATATAAGAAGTAAAGATACCATTAATATATTTTTGTGCTTCCTGACATTTAAGGTGATGCCGCCCCCCGGCGACGAAAAATTATTATTTCACCAGGTTAGGCGACTATTTCAATGGGATATCATATCTGTATCTGTCAAAGTAGATTCCAAATAGGAGTTGAAAGCAATCTGGGATAGCGGTTGTTTGTTTTTTACTTACAGTCCATACACTTGTGGAGTAATTTCCAAGTTCCTCATGTGAACCCACAACTCAGGGTCGTGTTTCCTCAGCATGTGTTCTTGGATTCGATTCAGTTTCTTTACAATGGCTGTCGACTACACAATTAAATAAATGTTACCTCTCAAACGCAACAAAAATTTTTGCGTCTTTGTGGGTCTGACTGTCCGATCGATTAAACCCAAGACTAACTAAAAAGGAATTTTCTCCTTACAATATCAATAAGCTGTCCACTAGAAATGTAAGGAGAAGCTAGGGCAGGATGACGAACCAAATAGCGTCGTGCCACGGAAACCGGGATAAAAAGTACTTCCCCTATCCCAATGAACCTCTCCCAAGGGCGATTACATTGACAATGGATACCCTGATACAAACCACACTGTAAAAATTTGCGGAATACAAAATTGTCTGTCCTGAACACCAGGTTAGTAGTGTGCATGTTGAGTGTAACTTACTGGAATGATTTCTTGATCTGTGAACGGTTCAACATGTGGATCCAAAAACTAACAACAAAAAGTGCATTAACAAAAAACAAAAAGTGTCAAATCATGTGGCACTTCTGAAGTGTGAAAAAAAAAGACATACACAAAAATGAAAATAATAACAAAAATAAAATAAATAAATTAACTCGTGTTGACTTTCAGAAAGTTGTCACAAAATCTTCCCAGAAAATTCACAAACCACAAGCACAGCCCATGTTTTATCACGTTACGCAAAACACAGGACGGGTGTACTAACCTTGTTTCTCTCAGGAAGTCCTTTCACAGGTAACTGAAGATACCAAGTTTCTGTCTGGTCCATGAGTTGAACAAACAGAGCACTGATGACACAAAAATATACCAATTTTTAATTTTTCCATGAAACAAAATTAAGACACAATACTCGGACCACAACACTTATAAAAACACGATAC